TCTTTGTAGAGAATCAACTACAAAATGAAGAGAAAGAAAGCAGTTTGAGGAAGGACTCAGAGACTGTAGATGTTCAGGTAGAAGATGATCTGAATTCTTTTGAAGCAACACCGAAGCATAATGTACAGGAACCAATCGAGTCCGAGGCTTCAGAAATTCGAAGGTCAACTCGTGAGAGAAGACCACCGACTTAGCACTCGAAGTATATTACGGAGAGTAATGTTGTATACTGTCTTCTAACAGAAGATGAAGAGCCATCAACTTTTTATAAAGCTATAAATGGCACAAATGCATCTTTGTGGATGGCAGCAATGCAAGAAGAAATTAAAGCTCTCCATAAGAACAAGACTTGGGAACTTGTGTCACTACCACAAGGAAGAAAAACCATTGGAAACAAATGAGTTTACAAGATCAAGCGAAATGGCAATGTTCAAGTGGAGCGATATCATGTTAGATTGGTGGTAAAAGGATATGCTCAGAAAGAATGTATTGATTTTAATAAAATATTTCCTCCTGTAGTTCGATTTACAACAGTTCGAATAGTCCTGGCTATGAGTGCTATATTTGACTTACATCTAGAGCAGTTAGATGTAAAAACAGTTTTCTTCATGGAGATCTTGAAGAAGAAATTTATATGCTCCAACCAGAAGGTTTTGAAGAAAAAGAAAAGGAGAACTTGATTTTCAGATTGAACAAATCTCTGTACGGTCTAAAGCAGGCACCGAGGTGTTGGTATAAGAGATTTGATTCATTCATCATGAGCTTTAGATACAACAGACTTAATTCAGACCCTTGTGAATATTTCAAGAGGTTTAGTGAAAATAACTTTGTTATCTTATTATTGTATGTTAAATACATGTTGGTTGCAGGCCCCATCAAAGATCATATCAAAGAATTAAAGGCTCAGTTGACTAGGAAATTTGAAATGAAGGATTTAGGATCCGCAAACAAGATTCTAGGGATGCAAATTTACAGAGACAAAGTTAATAGGAAGATTTGGCTTTCTCAGAAGAATTATTTAAAGAAAATCTTACGGTGTTTTAACATGCAAGATTGTAAGTTAATTTCTACCCCACTTCCTATTAATTTCAAGTTATCCTCCAATATGACTCCTAGCAGTGAAGAAGAGAGGATGAAGATGTCTCAAGTACCGTATGCATCAGCAGTGGGAAGCTTAATGTTCGCTATGATTTGTACAAGATCGACATTGCACAAGCAGTGGGAGTGGTTAGTCGATACATGACAAATCCTGGTAAAGAGCATTGGAATGCTGTAAAGAGGGTTCTAAAATACATTCAGGGAACCTCTAATATTGTATTATGTTATGGGGGATCTGATTTTATTGTCAATGGATATGTTAATTCTTATTATGCATGTGATCGCGATAATAGCAAATCCACCACAGGCTATGTGTTTACACTTGCTGGCGGAGCTGTAAGCTGGGTTTTAAAACTGCAGTCAGTTATGACTACTTCAACAACAAAAGCAGAATATGTAGCAGCTACACAAGCTAGTAAAGATGCGATGTGGTTGAAGATGGTACTGGAGGAACTCGGCCATGAACAAAAAAAGATATCTCTATTTTGTGACAGTCAGAGTGCTTTGCATTTGGCAAGAAATCCAGCTTTTTATTCAAAGACCAAACACATTCGAGTTCAGTACCACTTTATTCATGAGAAAGTGTAAGAAGGAACAATGGATATGCAGAAAATTCACACCAAAGACAACCTAGCAGATTTTTGACAAAAGCAGTCAGTACTGACAAATTTACTTAGTGTCGATCCTCTTGTGGTCTGTCAGGTACGTAAGCAACATGAAGATGACAATATAGAAAGAATGGTGTGAAGATATGATTGATGCTCAATCAAATCTTCAAGTGGGAGATTGTCAAACATGCGTGCCTAATGCAGCCAAACCTCCAAATCCACTCAGCCATTTTGTTTGACAAAGGAAAATAAAACAAAAATAGCAGGCCCTATAGTATAGTAAAATATTAATATTTTATTATGCATAGTGTTTTTCCAAATCCTATAAATAGGCTCCAAATCCTTAAGAAAAAATTCATCCCAGAAATAACTCCTCATACAAAAGAGTAAGAGAGAAAAAAATAGAGAGAGAGAGAGAGAGAGAGAGAGAGAGAGAGAATCTCCTTGTAAAAAAAAGAGAGATTGTAACTTTAGAGTTTTCCCCTCATAGTAGATCCTTCTATTCTTGCCTGTGGACATAGGCAATCAAGTACTGAATCACGTAAATCTGTGTGTCCATCCTTTTATCTCTACTTTTGCTCTACTATTGCTGCGACCCTTCTCTATTGGGCCCCCTGGGTTTGTCCTAACAGTGATCTTCAACCTTCTCATCAACATTTCATAAATCCATCAAACTTGGATTCAATTTGTCGAGGTGATCCTTTAAGGTATCTCCTTGCTTCATTCGAAGAGCGAACAGACGTTGTCTCAAATACATATTGTTGGTGAGAGACTTAAAAGTAATATAATGATGAATTATTCATGATTGTAGGCTATCTAAAAATCACAACAGATAGCCAATCCCCATCAAACACCGATAATGGAAGTTACAATCTGACGACTTCCAGAAGGTTATAATTTGAAGACTTTCACGTAGATCGATGAAAGTTACAAATTGACGACCTTCGCAACAACTGATGAAAGCTCTAATCAACAGTCTTCACAATCAACATCGGGAGTTACAATCTGACGACTCTCTTATTTGCAAGGAGCCAAGATGAAGATTACAAGATGATGGTCTTTGCAATGCTCCAGCAAAAGAGACCACAAATTGATGGTCTCTTCACATCAAAACGCAGAGGTCATCCCTGCGTTTCACCATCAAAATACAGAGGTCATCCCTGTGTTATACCATCAAAACGCAGAGGTCATACCCATGTTTCAGAGTCAAAACACAAGGGCCATCCCCAGTATTCAAGTCCAAACGCAGAGTTCGTGGACTCAGAAACGCAGAGTTCATACAGAGTCCAACTATGCGTCTCAGGTCCAAAACGCAAAGTTCATGCAGAGCCTAACTCTGCGTCTCAGGTCCAAAATGTGGAGTTCATCTCTACATCTCAACTCTGCATTTCAGATTTACAACGTAGCGTGACCTGTGCGTTCATCCACCAAAATAGGCCCAATTCTGTGTTTTTAGTCTAAAACGCAGAGTTCAACTCTGCGTCTCAGGTCCAAAACGCAGAGTTCATGCAGAGCCCAACTCCGTGTCTTAGGCATGTTTGCTATATCCACTCCCAAACAGTAATTTTGAGAATGGGTTGCCGAAAATGCCCTTTTGATGTTGATGGTGTTTCTGGAATGGACTTGGCCTGTTTTGGTTTAGGAGAAGGGCAATTTAGTCCTCACACACCCCCAAAGTTACTGTTTGGGAGTGTGAATAGTTGGACCCCGTCTCAGGTCCAAAATACAGAGTTCATCTCTGCGTCTCGACTCTGCATTTCAGATTTATAACGTAGCGTGACCTGTCCGTTCAGCCACCAAAATAGGCACAACTCTGCGTCTCAGGTCCAAAACGCAAAGTTCATACAGAGCCCAACTCTGCGTCTCAGGTCCAAAATGCAGAGTTCATCTCTGCGTCCTAACTCTGCATTTCAGATTTACAACGTAGCGTGACCTATGCGTTCAGCCATCAAAATAGGCCCAACTCTGCGTTTTTAGTCTAAAACGCAAAGTTCGGGCCCTGAACGCTATTTTTCAGCGTTTAACTCGTTCAAAGCACGAACTGGACGGTTTTAAAACCGTTCTCCCCACGATTTGGGAAGCTATTTAAGGAGGGCGGTTACACCCCATTCAGCCTCACTTAGGAGCGAATTAAGAAGGCGGTTATACCCCTTAATCCCCTATAAATAGTGGGAAACTCAATTGAGTTCGGGGGGATTTTTTTGCTCGGGGATTGATCCTTTTTTTTTAGCAGCAAAGAAGAGATATTCGGCTGACTTTTTAGGAGAATTGCTGGAGCTTCCTGCAGCGACAAAGTTCATTGGAGCCTTCGGCATTGGCTTGTCAAACCGATTTTCGGTTAAATCAACTCTTTCATAGAGTTTCAAACTCGTTCAAAGTTATCAACTCGTCCAGAGTTCTAAAACTTGCTTTGCAAGTTCTCCACAACGTTAAATCGTGAGGAGAAGATCACGTTCCAGTGAAACAAGACGTTCGGATCGTTAACGGAGAGCAAACTCGACGTGAGCATTCGAGGGAGGCACTCCATCGTCACCATGAAGAACCCAGAATTAAATAAAGGGGAGAATCCAGATCATTCTCCTCTCTTTTATAATCGGAATCCAATTGTAATCACTGTTTTAAATATCGGCCGATAATCGATATTATCGGCCGAGTTATCGGATTTGGGAGCTCTCCGATAGGATAACTTGGATTTTTAATCGGTTATCGTTTTGACAAGTTATCGGGGAGTTATCGGCGTTATCGGTACTTATCGGCCGATAAGTAAGGTTTTTTTATCGGGATTATCGGCCGATAAGTAAGGCTATGCAATCGAATAGTTTCATCGTGCAGTCAAGATGCAAGTTTTGCTTTCTATAATTGGTTAGTGATTCTAAACATGATGATTTACATTTTGGTATGCTTATATTTCATTAAGTATGGTTAGATTATATTTTTTAGTTATCATATTATATATATACATCATCCAGTATATCACTCCGATAAATACTACTTATCCCCGATATATCCCCGATTTCCGCTATCCGATAAGGATTTTGGCCGTCCGATAAATCCCCGATAACCGCTATTTAAAACCTTGATTGTAATTGAGATGGAGAGAATATAAATAAAATTTTTCTTTCATTTCTTTTACTACGAATTTTCCACAAACAATGACATTGTACATGATTTTGCCATTAATCAGTGCTCATAATCATTGTTAATATCAGTTAAAGTATGCATGACAATTTAAAAGTCTCAAGTCAAAAACAACAATTATTTGTTTCCTCTCGGGAGAGAGAAGGGGAGCAGCGGCAGCAGGGTTTCAGGGAGTACGCTCGTAACCGCCTCTGCTGCACTTTTTCTCTTTCCTCCTCAATTCTCTCTCTCTTACTTTCTCTTTCTACTCTCTCTCTCTCCTCCTTCACGCCATTCCCATTGCTGTACGATAAAGGCGACGTTTTTACAACAAAGACAGCCCCTTTCTCATTCTCTCTCAACTGATACGGGAGTTCATCAACAAAGCAATAAGCTTTTTCTCATCCCCCCTCCCCCCCTCCGAGCTCGCTCAGGTGCTCTCCCTCTCTCTCTCTCTCTCTCTGTAGAGTTTCTGTTACATTGATTTCATTAGGGTTTTGTATTTCTTCACTGCACCCAAAAACCTGACCTTTTGATCTTATTTTTTAAATGACTGTTGTTTTGTAGCTTTTCTTTTTTCTTCTTCTAAATAGTGGGGCGTTTGGAGAAAGAAAGCACTCCTCCTTGTCCTTTTCAAACACAAATCCGCGTATTTAATGTTAAAAATCGCGCCTTTTTCGGGGCCTATTTGAGTTGGAGGGCGATTCCCCAATCCCTAACCCTTATTTAATTACTGCTCGTCTCAGCTGATCACTGCCAGTCGTCTGTTTTTTGAGATTCGGGGGGACTTCTTTCGTTTTCAGCTTCGTTTACTCCTTATTTAAGACGTGGGTCTTGGGAATTTTGTATAGTTTAGAGCGAAGGGGGGGCGAGAGAAAGAGAGAGAGAGAGAGAGAAAGAGAGAGAGGGGTGTTGTCTTTAATTAATGAGGCATTACTGTAGTTCACCAGCTGGCCTAAATGGGCTGAGGAATAAGTGAAGTGAGTGGGGAGGCATTACTGTAGTTCACCAGCTTCAAGAACCCCATGCTTGTCCTCTGTCTCTGTGCAAATTGCATATCAAAGTGTGACATAAATGTGAGCTTTGGGGGGTGAATCATGGGCTTTTGCTTATCATCATTATTATTATTATTTGTTTTTATTTATTTATTTATTCTGCTTCATGGGATCATCATGATGAAGTTGGAGTGGTTTCTGAGCCATTTCCACTTTTTTTTGTTTTTGTTTTTGTTTTTTGTTTTCTTTCGCTTGGCCTTTTCTTCTCTGCTCCCCGTAAGCTTTCTTTCCTTCTCTGGGCTCCTTGTGATCTTTGCTTTTGTCCATTTGCCCTGTGCAAGCGTATTCATTTGAAGTAGTTCAGAATCTTGTTCCCTTTTTTGAAGTCTAAAGGGTGGGTTCCTGGGTATGAGGTTTGTGTCTGTCACTTTTGCTTTCTGTTTCTTCTTTCCTATACCAGCTTGCGGTTTTTACTCTCTCTCTCTCTCTCTCTCTCTCTCTCTCTCTCTCTCTCTTTATGCATTTCCATGTGACCTTTGGTAATCATTGGAGTTTGGAGTCTAAAAGAGGAAGTTTGTGTGTCGCTCTTTCTGAAATTTTGTTTATAAAAAAAAATGGAGAAGCTAAAAAACTGGTGAAAATTTATCTCTCTAGTTTCTTGTTTTGTTTTGCTTTGTTTAGATTGAATTTGTGTTTAAGCTTAGCCTTGAAAGTTTTACTTCTCCATTAATAGCAATTATTTCTAAACATATACCTAGAGCTGCTAGCCGTTGAATTCCTTTTTGCAGCTTTAGTGGTTAGTCTAATGGTTGCTTTCTAATCTGTCTGGCCCACAAATGTTAAGACATTGTAATCTGTAAAGACTTTCTTTTGAGTTCTTTGTGATGGATGTTTAACCCAAAAAAAAAAGAAGAAGAAAGAATAAAACTGGAAAAAGAAAAGAGAGTTTATGTTCCAAATTTACTGTGGTAAAAGTTCTTTTTAGGAACCTAGCCATTTACCATTGTAAATACAGCTTATCTTATTTGTTCCTCTTTCAGGGTACTAACGCAAACCGATGGTTGCTGAAGCAAATAACTTGTGCTTAAGGTGAAAGTTGGCATTACCAAATAAGGTGATTTTCCTTTTTAAAGCATGTCTTTTTTCTGTTGTTATTATAGTTTCTTTGCCTCTTATTGCTTAATCATACTATAAAGGTGCCTAGCCTAGTTGCTAGTCTAATTGCTGATGAAAGATTCGAAGCCTTGGTGCCTGATTAAACTATGAATGCTTTAATCATTATCCGGGATTCGTGCTAAGTGCTTGTTTGCTTTATATATGCATAATGTATAGGGTTTGGACAAGTCCAGTCCATCAACCTTGAAGCTTACCAGTTCTCTTAACTTCTTCAGATTTCAGAACCTGTTTCAGATTGTGAGGCCTGTCTGCTTGGTATTTTTTGTGACAAAGTGAAAGCGTCAAGCTGTTCTGATCTCAAATATTAGCAGGGTGAGCAATTACATAGTTGAATATGTGCATCTTTTGGTTTACATTGCTGAATATGAATTATAGCTTACTGTTTATTCCAGAGCTCTATATATATATATTTGGGTGACTAAAACATAACATCAACATGGAAGATGCAGAACTTCTGCTATTGTAATGTCTTTTGTAATTAAAATATTTTCTATTAGATATGTTATAATTTTGATATATATATATATATATATATATATATATATATATATATATATATATATAGGGAGAGAGAGAGAGAGAGCAAATGCTTAGCTTACTAAAGAACGGTTCATCAGTCAATCTCCTAGTACTTGGAAAGTTGTTATTACTTTTCCTTTGTCTTTTTCTCTATTGACTTATTCTTATTTTCATCTGAATGGGAGTATTACCATCTGAACATGTCCTTTTTTTTGCTCCCTTAAAAAAAGTAGTTTTACTACCCTTAAACTTTTCATTGATGTTAGAATTAATATAAAACTATAATCATTAATCCTCACCATAACTTCGGAGTTTTGGTGTAATGATTAGGGGAACTAAATTTAAGATGGTATCAGAGCAACCTAGGTTCAAATCCGCTACGTGAGTTCAGGTTTCGACCCATAAAAAAAGGCGCTCAATCTGCAGGGGCATGTTAGAATTAGTATAAAACTATATTCCTTAATCCTCACAATAACTTTGGAGTTTTGGTGTAATGGTTAGGGGACCTAAATTTAAGAATTGACATTTTTGCTTCACTTATTCTTGAGTTCCAAAGCTTAACTTGTCTCAGACGCTCATTTTTGGATTTTTGTGACAAAATAAAAGTAACTAAAGAACGGTTCATCACTTAATCTCCTAGTACTTGGAAAGTTGTTATTACTTTGTCCTTTTCTCTATTGACTTATTTTTATTTTCATCTGAATGGGAGTATTACCATCTAAACATGTTCTTTTTTTGCATTCACTTAAGAAAAGTAGTTCTACTGCCCTTAAACTTCCTATTTCATTGACATTTTTGCTTCGCTTAATTCTTGAGTTCCAAAGCTTAACTCGTCTCAGACGCTCATTTTTGGATTTTTGTGACAAAATAAGAGTAAGCATCAATAACTCTTCAGAACATTGCAGTCTGTTTTCTCTTGTTTCAAATGATGGATTAGTCCTTTAAGTGGTTTGGATTCGAAAGACCTCATCTTGGTGTGTAGCTCCTGTTGTTCTACCATCTGTTTTCCTCAAGCTTCCTTTTATTGCATCTTTTTTCCCTTATGGATTGTATGTGGTATGATATTTTATTTTCTGTTTGTGTTTTCTTAAGGCCTCTTTATCTTTAGCTTAACAGGTAGAGAAGAAAGAAATTGGACCCACATAAATGAGGAAACTAAATATTTTCCTTTTCCGTGTGTGGAGAGGTGGAGTTAAAACTGAAAAGAGCAAAACTCCCCTTCTTACAGTAACCCAAACAGAAAGCATGACATGATATAAATACACAAAAAATGTGTGTAGCCTGACCTCTGAGTTGAGTGCAGCTTAATTTATTATTCTACTTGTAACATTTACTTTGTTTAAACTTAACATAGGTTTCAGTAACCAATATTTCTTTAGCGACGCTTCTTGATGAGCTTGAGCTCTCTGCCTTTCTCTGAAAAACAAGACCTTTCTCACAATTGTTATTCTTGGTAATGGCTGTTTAATAATTGTTTGCTCTTGCTCCAAATTTACTGTAATATACTATGATTTCAGATGTCTAGTGTTGATTCATTTTCTTATCTTTAATTGTACTTTTCAGGTTAACTTGGGCTGGTGTATCGCAACATTTCAAATGAGGTGAAACTGGAATATATAAATTGGTAAACCTTTTTTTCACTTGCTACTTATTCGCCCTGTTCTCTCCTTGATTTATATTTTCACAAACCAAATTTCCAGATTCAGAATATTTCTCCATCAAGTAATTATGTGCTTAGGTTTTGGCTGTCTTGCCTTCTAGTCCTTGTAAGTCTTCAAGTGTTTCTGTATCCTGGTCATCAAGTTGTATTAATAAAGATTTGAGCAAAAGAAGAGAAGATAGTACGTAAGGAGTTTATTGAAGTTCTTCCAGTTTCATATCTTGCAATGTAAAGCAACTTATTCTATATAGAACACGAGGAAATATAAAAAAAGGGGCTTAGTTCAAGCTATCAAGGATCGGCAAACACGTGTTGGTGTGCTCCATCTGCAGTTTAATTTTTCACTCTAATACTGGAAATTGACACCTCCATATTCTCAAGGGACCTGAGTGTTTGAAATTCTCAAATTTCGTAGTGAAAAACTCATCGGTGTACCATTTCCAATGAAGCTATTATTTCTCATTGATGTATTTCTCTATTTTCGTGTTTTGCATTGTTATTTTTACAGGAATATGTTGGTAGAATTATTTCTATATTTTTTTGATTCATGACTTCGCCTTGGCTTTTCTCTGATATTGAATTTGCTGTGCCGTACGTTGTACCAACTATTGAACATTGTTTTGCTTTAATATGTTTGAAAAATATACGGTGCTAAATTATTTTATATGAATGTGAACCTGCTGTATTGAATAAATAATCTCATGAATCCTCTAATGTCCATGCAGGTTCACTCCCTTCAATCCAAAAGCTGCAACTTGTTCTAAACATAATTGAGGCTATCTCTTGCAGAAGGATGTCATATATTCATCCATTCCTCTTTTATTTCCTTCTCTGCATCTCTACCTCAAGTGCAAATTATGCAGGAGATATCCAAACATTAATCACTCTGAGGGATGAATTTTCTCCAGCAAAAAATCTTATTCCCAACTGGTTTGATCCCAAAATCCCACCCTGCAATTGGACTGGCATAACCTGTACTGGGCTAACTGTTGAAGGAATAGATTTATCATACATTCCCCTTAAACTCTCTATTCCAAGCTGCATTGGGGAATTTAGATCTCTGAAGCTCCTCAACTTCAGCAATTGTCAACTCTCCGGTCAACTTCCAGAATCAATCAGCAAGTTAAAAGACCTACAAAAACTAGACTTAAGTACAAATCAACTCTCGGGAGCTCTTCCACCGTGGATTGCCAATCTGAAAATGCTCAGGGAACTAATGTTGGACAACAATTCCTTCTATGAAAGCTTGACTCCATTCATTTGCCAGCTTCGAGGTCTTGTAAAGCTTTCTGTGAAAGCAAATTCCTTTTCTGGAAGTCTATCACCGAACATTGGAAATCTTCAGAACCTGGAATTTCTTGACTTGAGTAGCAATTCATTCTCTGGAGTTTTACCTCCCAACCTTGGAAATCTCACAAGGCTTCAGCATTTGGATATCAGCCAAAATGGGTTCACTGGATCGATCTTTCCTGGCATTGGAAATCTGCGGAATCTCTTAACACTTGATTTATCTACCAACAGCTTGACGGGAATCTTGCCTTCAGAAATTGGCAATTTGGAAAGCCTTGAGTTGCTTTGGCTGGGACCAAATGGCTTCACTGGTAATATTCCTGCGGAGATCGGCAACCTGAAGAAGCTCAGAGCACTTTCTCTCCGAATTTGCAAGCTTCAAGGGGAAATTCCAGACGAAATATCCAATCTGAAGAGTTTGACAGAGTTGGATATGTCAGAGAACAGTTTCGAAGGGGAATTGCCAGCTGAAATAGGGAATTTGGGTAATTTGAAATATTTGGTAGCAGCTAATGCAGGGTTGGATGGGCTCATTCCAAAGAGTTTGGGACGATGCAAGAATTTAACAATGCTAGATTTGTCATTCAATTCTCTCTCGGGTCCTTTACCAGAGACTTTGACTGGGTTGCAATCGATCAGGACTTTCATCGTCGAAGGGAATCATCTTTCAGGTCCAATACCAATCTGGATATCAAACTGGAAACTCGTCAATTCGATTAGGCTTGGCAAGAATCTCTTCTGTGGTTCTTTACCATCTATAAAACTGCAATTTTTGATAGAATTTTCAGCTGATGCCAACCAATTATCAGGGGAGATCCCTTCTTCTATCTGTGAAGCTCAGTCTTTTTCTTCTCTTTCACTCTCTGAAAACAATCTTACTGGGAGCATTGAGCACACCTTCAAACGCTGCTCAAATCTAACCACCCTCACACTTATGGGAAACAATTTGTCTGGAGAGGTACCAGGTTATTTTGGTGAGCTACCTCTTATCACCCTCGAACTGTCACAGAATAACTTCTCTGGTTCTCTCCCTGATCAGCTTTGGGAGTCACACACCATTCTCGAAATTTTCCTGGGCAATAACAAGCTTGATGGCCAGATTCCTGATAATATCGGAAGACTTGCTGGATTACAGAGGTTGATTTTGGAAAATAATTTATTTGAAGGACCCATTCCGAGCTCTATTGGGAAACTAAGGAACCTGACCAATTTGTCACTCCACGGAAATAGATTATCTGGTGAAATCCCTGCAGAACTCTTCGACTGTGAGAATTTAGTAGCTCTTGATCTAGGCATGAACAATTTGACTGGGTCAATTCCTAAAGCCATATCTCGCTTGAAGCTACTCGATAACTTGGTTCTGGCTCAAAACCAGCTCTCGGGTCAAATACCAAATGAGATATGTGCCGGGTTTCAACAGGTTGTAGACTTACCCGATTCTGAGTTCAGTCAACATTATGGTGTGCTAGATTTGTCATATAACAATCTCACAGGTAGCATTCCCTTAGCAATCAAGAACTGCACTGTGGTGAAGGAGCTTCGACTGCAAGGTAATAAACTCAATGGCAGCATCCCTTATGAGCTCACTGTGTTATTGAACTTGACCATCTTGGATTTGTCCTTCAATTATCTGACTGGTGACATCATTCCTCGTCATTTCCCTATGAGAAATCTCCAAGGGCTCTTACTGTCAAACAACAAGCTTGAAGGTTCTATCCCTGATGATTTGAGCACAATGGTACCTAACCTTGTGAAACTTAATTTATCCAGCAACCAACTTACCAGTCACTTTCCAGGATCCATCTTCAATATCAAGAGCCTGACTCATATTGATATCAGCCAGAATCTCCTTCAGGGACCTATACCATTTTCTGGGAGCATTTCCCTTCTGATACTCAATGCAAGCAACAATCAGTTCTCTGGTTCTATATCAAAGTTTGTTTCCAATTTGACTTCCCTTTCAATTCTCGACCTCCACAATAACAATCTCACCGGCAGCCTTCCTTTGTCGCTTACAACTCTTGATTACTTAACATACCTTGATCTTTCTAACAACGATCTTTATGATGCTATCCCTTGTGATATTTGTAGCATTGTTGGGCTTTCCTTTGTAGATTTATCTGGAAACAAGTTTGACAAGTTCTCACCTGAGAATTGCAAGGTTAGCAACTCTTGTAGAGGCAGTCACATTGCATCAGTTCCTTTTGGAGCTCACCCCTCTCCACGAGCTCTAACTCAAGCATCTGTTTGGGGAATTATTATTGGGGGCTCTACCAGTTTCCTCGTTCTTCTGTTTAGCTTCCTTCGTTGGCGTACACTAAGGCAGGGAAGTTCAACTCTTGGTCTTTCCAGCAAGGGAAAGCCATCGGCCATTGAACCAGCATCTACCGATGAGCTCCTAGGCAAAAAGTTGAAAAAAGAACCCATTAGCATAAACATAGCTACTTTTGAGCATGCACTCCTTCGACTAACTCTTGGTGATATCTTGAAAGCAACAGATAACTTCAGCAAGGCCCACATCATCGGTGACGGTGGCTTTGGCACTGTTTATAAGGCAGTCCTTCCAGAAGGCGGCGTGGTCGCAATCAAGAGGCTAAGTGGTGGAGCGAGTTATCAAGGCGATCGAGAGTTCTTGGCAGAAATGGAGACGATAGGTAAGGTGAAGCACCGCAATTTGGTCCCTCTCCTCGGCTACTGCGTCTTTGGGGATGAACGCTTCTTGATCTATGAATACATGGCAAACGGGAGCCTTGACCTGTGGCTGCGTAATCGAGCAGATGCAATAGAAACACTTGATTGGCCAACCCGGTTCAGGATTTGCCTTGGCTCTGCACGTGGTCTTGCATTCCTCCACCATGGATTTGTACCACACATAATTCACCGAGACGTGAAGTCCAGTAACATTCTACTCGACGAGGGTTTCGAACCGAGAGTATCTGATTTTGGACTGGCACGCATCATAAGTGCTTGTGAGACGCACGTGAGCACAGACCTTGCTGGGACTTTCGGATATATCCCACCGGAGTATGGCATGAGTATGAAGTCGACAGCAAAGGGCGATGTGTATAGTTTCGGTGTAGTAGTGTTGGAGTTGATAACAGGAAGGCCAGCGACTGGGGAGGAGTTGTTAGATGGAGGAGGGAACCTCGTGGGATGGGTGAGGTGGATAGAAGAGAAGGGAAAAATCGATCTCGTGTTTGACCCATGCTTGATGTCAGCATGTGATGGTGGTCGTGGGAGATGGAGAGAGCAAATGAGAAGGGTCCTGACAGTGGCGAAAGCATGCACAGCCGACGAGCCATGGAGGAGACCGAGCATGCTCGAGGTGGTGAAGAATTTCAAGGGGATTGAGTTGATGGAGGATTACAGTGATACAGGCGCACAAGGCGTTTGATCGTGGAAGGTACTAACTAACTAGCTACTGAATATGTTGTTGTTCCGTGCCTTATATATCATATGTTTTTCTATGTAGTTTAGTGAAAGCTGTATGTGAATTTGAGAGATCAAATGTGGTGTAAATAATCTGCTAACAAAATCGAGCATGTATCATTCTGGAATGAGTAAAATTGAGGTATTAGAAAACTTGACTGTTTCCTGATCCAGAAGCTATATTAGAAAAGTCTTACCTTGATGCGATAATGAGGAAGGCCTCTGTACTAGGCTGTTTCATGATCCAGAAGCTATATTAGAAAGGTGGAAATTTTCTAAATAAACCCATTCATAATTTTTTTTTCTAAAAATAGACCTCTTGAGTTTTATTTACAAAAATAGATTCATTTTATCTTAATCCGGTTTCTAAATAGTCGGGGTTGGGAGGTTGTAAACCCCCAATTATAACCCTAAACACTAACATTAATATGCACTAAATAGTCGGGGTTGACAACCTCGACTATTTAGAGATCGGATTAAGACAAAGTGGATCGATTTTTGTAAAAAAAAAACTCAAGGGGTTCTATTTTTAGAAAAAAAAATTTATGAATGGGTTTGTTGAGAAAATTTCTTCCACGCAAAGGGGATGTTAAGAAAACCACACTGAATCCTCCGTAATTGTAAGTTTTGATTTCGCTTCGATGGCGGACAACGAGCTCCTGAATATGAAGAAAGCAGACGCAATAATGACAAAATTGTTATTCGACTGTTTGTTATTTAACTTCAACGTTTTAAATGTTAGATCAACTTTACAGATCTACCATGACCGGAACTTCGTTCTTTATTTTCTTTAGTAGTATTTTTCTCGACACAGGACGAAAATTTTACTTTAGTATTGAGTTTTAAGATACTGAATAACATTGTCAAACATAGAGCATCAAAGTGAAGTGAAATTTAAAAAAAAAAAGCGTACTGGTAACAATATTAAACTACAGTTTTATTAAACGTTTGAATGCGAACAGTTCTAGAAAAAATTGGCAACGAACCACTCCCAGAATTAAAAGATTTGGCAATGGCAACACCAGGACATCAATAAGAATGGCAATGCATCCGTAAGCAAAAAAATACTTATAGCTAGTTTCAAAAACCTGCAGTAATCAGCACACGATAAACGATTGAGATTTTCTAGTAACAACCATTTTTGTACCGCGAGTACTTCGGGCACCGTCTTTAACAGCTCGCCCAATCCATCAAATATTGTACGACGCAAAATAACACTCAATGGCATAGAATTAAGAAACTCTACTGAATAGTTAAAATAGGAGTATATGTTGCCCAAACAACGGGATATAACAAAAAGATAAAGTCATCATACGAGTTTCAACAAAACTTGCCTAAACCACAACTTGTCTAAAACACAACCAAGCCGATACAATCAGCTGCAAGCATAAGCATGATTTGCGAGGGGGAAAACAGAACATCTCCACTCAAACATAGCATCACTACTCAACGGTTGGCCTTGGCAACTCGTTCAATCTCATCCTTCTTTTTTATTGCGTAACTGTCACAAGAACAATCTCATTAGCTTCACATAATTTTAATACACATTTCTACATGCAAAATATAGTTTAGCACTTAAATACGAGCAATCAGTACTGTGAATACCTGTTAGAAGAACCCTTGGCAGCATTGATGAGCTCATCAGCAAGGCATTCTGCAATGGTCTTGATATTTCTAAAAGCACTTTCACGAGCACCAGTTGTGAGAAGATAAATCGCCTGGTTCACTCTCCTCAATGGAGAGATATCAACAGCCTGTCGGCGCACAACACCAGCAGAACCAATTCGTGTAGCATCTTCTCTCGGCCCACTGAAAGAGCCAATAAAGTCATACAAGGCTTTTGCATAAAATTTGGTAGAATGTTAAGCAGGCTTCTTGTCACTTACAGATATTGCACATTAAAATCAATTAGGTCAAAATGGATGTAAAAGAACAATGAAGAATACTAATTAATTTTTCAAGTAACACAGAACCATAGTTTCCTGGTGGCTTACCAAACCAAGCAGATAGGAAATACACTTATGCTGGATTGGTGCTCCCAAATGAAATACGAGCATTTTGTAGTGTACTCTTATGGAAAAAAACAATCTACTACTAATCAAAATGAAAGAGAAAAGAAAGCTCAACTCAAAAAGTCATGGAATAAACAGTTTCCTTATGTGTCAATTTAAAACTCTGGTTGTAACACAGTTCTAAACTGTCACAATAATTTCTGATGGCACATATATGCCTGTTCGGCTAAAGAAATCAGAAGCAATAGAAGCTAGAGGATATGAAGCTAAAAATATTACTACAAACTATTAAATAAGTTAGCCTTACTAACCTACAGAGAATCATTAACATCAGGCTTAACATATAAGACAGCCAAAAAGTCTGGGATAAAAGTTTTATTGTAGTTATTAGCATTATATTGCATTCTCTAACAGTAACTAAAATTGATAACTTTAATAAAATATGCTACTTTTTTGAACAAAAACTTCATCTTTCCCGTAAAACAACTACAATATTACTCATAGCTTATAAACTAACTACATCTTTGCATGACAGGATTTTATTTTTTTTTATTTTTATTTATTTATTTATTTATTTATTTATTTTGGGGTTGTAAAGCACGAGACTAAGTGTACCTAGACCTCAACGCAACACGCACTCATTAAAGCCTTGAAAAATGAAAAGAGTACACTAATGGAAGAAACAAAAATTCAATGAGGAGTCCATCCTCAATTTTTAACAAACGACAATATCTGAGTTTGACAATTAACACAGCCAGATTTTAACCAGGTCCAGTCTTTAACTTTTGATTGGCAAAAGCTGGGCCATTACTGGCCCAGCTTATTTTAGTTCAAATTTGGGCCTCTAAACTAGTCTAGGTGTGAAAGAGCTGGTCCACAACTAAACTGGTTCTGGGCAGAACAGATTAAAGCTGGTCCAGTTTAGTTGCGTTGCCTCACACACCCTAATAGATAGGCTCGGAAAATAATATTTCATCATCATGGAAGGAAAAAGAATAATCATGACAAATGGCCTTCGCACAAGGTGAGCACCATCCTAATGAACTCGTTTTATAGTTAGTTATCACTTGTTAGCTAATATTTCCAGAAGTGAGTGTCTTATTAATTCACTTGGTGACTGCAAAACAAAAACCTACAGTACAAACAGTCAGAATGGTTTCTCACCTGTTAATAACAGCATCCACAATCACTTGAATAGGATTCAAGTCAGTAAGGAGATGAATGAGCTCCATTGCATGCTTGACAATGCGAACTGCCTTCAGCTTCTTGCCATTGTTGCGTCCATGCATCATCAGAGAGTTTGTCAATCTCTCTACAATAGGACACTGGGCTTTACGGAACCTTTTCACAGAGTAGCGTCCAGCAGTATGTGGAAGATATGTCGCATGCTTCTCAACTCTTACAGCTATATAGTCAACCAGTGACATATCACTTACCTATACAATCAAATGTTAAGTTCATCAGACAAATGATTAATGATTTACAACAGATAAACAAGCATTTAAAATAAAAAAATTGATAGCAAGCTACAAAAGAATAAAACAAAACAAAATAAAAAAAATAAAACACTCCACTGATAAAGAGATAAAGAAATAAACTGTAAACTATTTATGACAAAATATATAATGCAATAAGTGATATCCTGTGTCTGAGAATCTTCTAAATCTTAAAGTTATGGCTATAGTGTACCAAAATTGATACCGTTAAAGTGGGTTTTTTTAAAAGTCAGTTCCAATTAATTGTACTATATTCCTTTCATATAAAACATTACCTGGAAGGTTACCCTACTTGACAACTAAAATCCTTTTAACTCACTCACTTGTGCTAAGAGTACAAGACGCTTGAAGTTTACCATTCGACGTAATCTAGCACTTAATGAAAGGAAACGAACTAGGTGTAGGCTGTATAGCTATATATTATCTTTCAAACTCAATATGGTAATACATGAAAAGAGGAAACTAATAATTATTTAATCCTTTCTAGTTACAACCATAAAGTGAACATAAATAAGGATAGACAGGCATAGTCTGACACAAGATCTTTCAAAAGAGTCCAAACAAAAAAGAATGACGTAAAACTGATAACATTTCCTGTAATGAGCTAAATTAGGACAAATTTAATAGCAAGTTACATTAGAATTAAGAGGACATTGCATCAACTAATCAAGGCAAGAAATAAAGGAGTATCCAAATTTTCTGATACACTGTGCTAAAGATCATTGAAAAAACTAATTTAGAGCAATATATTTCTAGGAAACATGTAATTCCAATGCTCAAAACCCATCTGAAAGTATGTTGCACTATTAAAATGCATTTTGATAAGCCATTAATATAAATGCCAAATGAGGAAGAACAAGGTGCTAAGTACAATAAGGCAGCATCTGGCCCAAATTTAGCTAATGTGAATCATGCGATGAGGTTTTGCTGTTCATGAGAGTCCCAATAACGATAAGCCCAAAACTAGTTGAACCTCACAAACTAACCTAGGCATGATCTTAGTTATGGGTCACATAATTTACGTAATGCAAAATGTGATCAAACCCCAGCAATCAAAATATGCATAGAACCAACACATACTGAAAAAGAAAAAACGTAGGATTTCTAAACCAACATTTTGTAAATTTGACTTGAAATACCAGAATGGCATCTTTATCCTATTAAGTTTGAAGCCAAATGTCATTCCATGTTTTTATAGTAATTGACTAATTTCTCTCAAAACAATGTTTTTCTCACTAATTCTTTTTAGTAATTGAAAATTTTCTCAGAAACAATGTTCTTACACTAATTCGTCAAAATAACCCAGTTAAATGAACATCAAATAGCTTTGGGCAGTCCCGGCGTCATCAAAGTTAAAAGTTAATTAAATAATTACATCTAATATTATAATTTACAGGTCAATCAACTCTGGTACACTTTTGGGCTATAAATCAAACAATACAAAAAAAAATCAAGGGATAGATCATACAACCCAATTTTAGAAGTTCTAAGTAAAATCCTAATAAAAACTTTAATCTTGACTACAAGTTTTGTTGAACCAGACATTCACAAGCTTAAAATTATAATTAATTGCAGACGAAGATCTAAAGATGAGTGCACCAACACTTACAGGATATTGATCAGCATAATTTTCAACAAAAGGAAAGACTTTTCAACAAAAAAAGAAAAAGAAAAAAAGAAAAAAAAAGAAAAAGAAAAAAAGGGAGAGGTTTTGGTAACGAACATTAACATCATCGAAAGTCCATCGTTGACGAGGCTTAACGTCGAGTGCCGTCGTCTCAACTGCCGCCGCCGCCGCCACCGCCATTGGAGATGAGAGATCTGAGGAGGGAGAGTGGGAATGCAAAGGATGTGCGGCTAGGGTTAGGGTTTCGGCGCGGCACTGAGGAGACGGTATTAGGGTTCTTATATCGACAGTACGCAAGGTCGGGTAACGGGTCGGTTTGTTGTGTATTCGTAGCCCGAACTTATCCAAATTTGTGCGTTGGACGGTGCTGGGCCAAGCTGGATATCATGATCTTATTGGGCTATCTTATTAGATCTACAGGCCCTTATAGACGTACAACTGTAATGTTTTTGTCAAAGGGGTTTAAAAAAAAGGCGGATCCCCCAACAAAAGATAAAGGCTAGCACTTGGAAGCATGGTACAAAATTCATATATTTTGGACAGATGAAGGTGTGATGAGCCTCGTTTTCTTTGTTGGTTTCATAGTTTTAGACTTGTTCTCTTCTCTGCTTAATTTGTTAAAAAAATTCATATATTTCCCCTTGAGCTTTACTGTTTTTTGTTTTTTAATCTATATATTTAGATTTGGTCAAATTTGGAACCAAAGTTTATGAGATTTTATTGAACTCGGGCGTGTCTGGTTAGGAGGAGCTAGAACAACCAATGTTTTAACTTCATATTGTTCTAACTCGTGGTATTAGAATACTCTTGAATTTGCGCGATTCTAACATTAATATTTTTAACTTATTTTTATTATTGCAACAACCTGTTGGCATAGAGGCAAATTCTAGCCAAAACAAGACTTTTGAAATTAGGATGTAGTTCGAACAATATGGGGTTCCAATTACTTTTTACTAAACACACAATATCGATACTAAGGCAAGACAAATAAATTATGTTTGCAATGTCGTATCAAATAAGCTCTGATTTAGGGTTTCCATGACTATATATCTTGATTGGCCTGACTACAAGTGTCATTCTAATTTGTACATTAACGATCTCAGAAGTTGATTTTTCGAATATCTGAGCGTGCTACTCATTACGTAATGTCTTATAACTTTGTCTTAGATTTTCATATGTGGCCTAAGAGAAATGAGAAACCTAAACTCTATAACTTATTTTAGATATCTATTAGGCATATTATTCATAAATATCTTGTTGCATATTTTTAGGAATATATAGCTGTATAGTTTCCGGTTTTGTTAGTTTCCGGTTTTGTAGCTTAGTTTCCTAACTAATCTTAGCTAGCATTAACCTAGTTTTGTATATATATATATATTGGCAGCAGCCGCAAGGCATAACCCAAGGAAAATACAGAAGAGAATTCCTCTCTTTTCTCTATTCTTAAATCTAGCATGGTATCAGAGCAGGTTTGATTTAACAATTTTTTTTTCTCTTTTGTGATATTCAATTCTCCATTGCAATGGGCGACACTGAAACTAACAAGGGTGTGGATTCTTCGTCTCCGTATTATTTACACCCTTCCTCGAACACAGATCGAATTATAACCCCGGTGGTGCTCCGTGGGAATAATTACAATGAATGGGCTTGATCGGTCCGCAATGCTTTCAAAGCGAACAACAAACTTGGGTTTATTGATGGCTCGATTCAGCCACCCAAGTCGACAGAATCGACGATGTATTCTCCATGGGTGCAGGTGAATTCTATGCTCGGGGCATGGTTACATAACACCCTCGATGCATCCATCCGTTCTACTGTCCCTATTACTGATGATGTTAGGGATATGTGGGAAGATATTAGGCAGCGTTTCTCGGTTGGAAACGGACCTCGAATCCATGAATTAACAAGTCAATTGACTCATCTTGAACAAGGTGGCGACTCGGTGGTCGACTATTATGGCAAAATACGAATGATTTGGGATGAATTAGCTTGCTATTCAGCCCCTGTGTGTACCTGTAGCTGCAAGTGTGGTGCGAAGGGTGCATTGGTGAAGGAAAGGGAAGATCAGAAGGTTCACTAATTTTTAATTGGTCTTGACTCATCCATACATGGTACGGTCCGTTCTTAGATTCTAATGGAAGAACCTCTTCCGCCATTGAACACGGCCTTTTCCAAGGCTTTGACTGAGGAACGCCATCATTCCATTATTCGTCAAGGTGACAAGAAGGCTGAGGCCGTGGGTTTCGCGGTTCAAGGCAGTGCTCGTGGGCGTGGAGCAGCGCCTACCAAGGAGGGTGACAAGCCTCGCTTCACCGGCACATGCTCTCATTGTAACAAAGTCGGGCATGACAAAAACAACTGCTTCCAGCTTCTGGGATTTCCTGACTGGTGGTATTCTAAAAATAGGGCAGCAGCTAGGGGTGGCGGCAAGTACACCCGTGGTGGCAGTGGCAACGGTCGTGGACGTGGGAATGTGGCCAATGCTGTTGGCCAATCCTCTGGCAGCACATCAGGCAACAAATTGGCGCACCCGATCGCAATGGGGTGCAACTGTCGGATGCATAGTGGCAGCATTTGTTGGGTATGCTAAAACCCTCTCAACCTAATGATGCTACTCCTACACATGATGGTAAGTGTAAGTCCACTCAATGGATTATTGACACTGGTTGTTCGAACCATATGACCGGGAATATTTCTTTATTCGAAAGTTTGTATGATGTTTCTCCATCTCTAGTTGGGTTACCAAATGGCAACCAAACGACGGCAATTAAGGAAGGCAAAATTGTCTTGAGTGATGGTTTGATTTTGAAGGATGTGTTATATGTTCCTGATTTGAATGTTAATCTCATTTCTGTTTCACAATTACTTGCTACCTTGAATTATTTTATCACAGTAACTGATAAGCTATGTATCATACAGGACCGCAATTCGAGGACCCTGATTGGAGTAGGTGAACAATGTGATGGAGTATATTGGTTTAAGCCCACGAAGCTGATTCAAGCTAATCAAACTACTGTGGTTGGACAGCAAGAATTGTGGCATCGTCGGCTTGGTCATCCTTCCCGAAAAGTGGTGTCTCTTTTGCCTTTTATTTCTTGCAATAAAGCTCACAGTGAGAGCAATGATTTTTGTGATTCTAAGGAACCTTGTGGTATTTGTTTAATAGCCCATCAAACTAGAAGTGTTTTTCCGATTAGTGAAAGTAAAACAGTTGATTTGTTTGAGATTATTCATTGTGATATTTGGGGTGATTACAAAGTTGCTTCTAGTTGCGGTGCTTATTACTTTCTCACAATTGTTGATGATTTTTCGAGAGCCGTTTGGGTGTATTTAATGAGTGCTAAGAGTGAGGTTGGACAGATTATCAAAGATTTTTGTTCTATGGTGCAAACTAAATTCAATAAACGGGATAAAATTTTAAGGAGTGACAATGGGCATGAATTTACCTGTTTACGACGTTTTTATGCTGAAAATGGAATGTTACATCAAACGTCATGTGTTGATACACCTCAACAAAATGGTAGGGTAGAACGTAAGCATCAACATTTACTTAATGTGGCTCGGGCTTTACGTTTCCAAGCTAACCTACCTTCGAGTTTTTGGGGTGAATGTGTCTTGACGGCTGCTTATGTGATCAATAGAACTCCTTCTCGTGTGTTAAATGGCAAGTCTCCGTACGAAGTTTTGTTTGGAAAATCTCCGAATTACTCTCTTATACGCATTTTTGGTAGCTTGTGTTATGCTAATTATCGTCCTAGAGTGAAGGATAAGTTTGGTCCTCGCTCTCGGAAATGTATATTTGTCGGATATCCATTTGGGCAAAAGGGTTGGCGGCTTTATGACTTGGAGAGGAAGGTCTATTTTGTCTCTCGTGATGTTATTTTTGTGGAAACTAATTTTCCTTTTAACAACATGGATGCACCTGTGACAATTGATAGAGTTGGTATAAATGAGTTATTTCATCGCCAACCACAAATTGTTGTTGATGAGAATGATGGAGATAGTGGAGTTAGGGGGAGTTATGAGGGTCATGAGGTTGGAGAGGACAGCCATATTACTGCTCCCCTTGACCAGCAGTCTCCACGGCCTGGGTGTGGCACGAATGCATTACCCACGCCCTCTCCGTGGCCTGCCCAGCAGCAGCACACGCAAGAGCAGCAGGCTCGGCTTCGATGCACCAACCACAGTCCCGTTGCCGCAGCCACTTACCACTCCACAACCTATTTTTGAAGAACCCCTTGGTAAAGGACATTGTATACGGACTCCGTCAACTTGATTAAAAGGCTACATCACCAACACAATCCAAACCATTACTCCCGTCACTGTCACTAGTTCATCTCCTCCAAAGCAGTCCTCAGGTACGCCTTTTCCAATAGCTTATTTTGTTAACTGTGATAAATTTTCTATGAAACATAGGCAATTTTTGGCAGCGGTGACAACTTGGGTTGAACCAAAATCCTACTCTGAAGCAGTCAAGCACCCAGGATGGCGTAATGCCATGAAAGACGAACTTGACGCTCTCGAATGACAAGGCACGTGGACATTGGAATCTTTACCTCCGGGAAAGGTCGCTCTTGGTAGTATGTGGGTGTACAAGGCTAAGCTCAAGCAGGACGGGTCTCTGGAACGACTGAAGGGGCGACTTGTTATCTTTGGCAATAGACAATTGCCTGGTATTGATTTTAATAAAACATTTGCACCAGTCACAAAAATGGTGATTGTCCGCATGTTTTTAGCCGTTGCTATTGCTCGAAATTGGGAACTTCATCAAATGGATGTGCACAACGTATTTCTTCATGGAGACTTGGAGGAAGAGGTCTATATGAAGCTTCCCCCTGGCTATGCACCATCGGGTTCGGCGGGTAAGGTCTGTCGTCTTCGAAAAGCTTTGTATGGTCTTAGGCAAGCACCTCGGCAATGGTTTGCCAAATTATCTTCCGCTCTGAAGTTGTTTGGTTTTAAACAGTCCAATGCAGATTACTCATTGTTTTGCTATACTAAGGGGGGTGTGTCATTATATGTTCTTGTATATGTGGACGATCTACTCATTGCAGGTTCATGTCATGATGCGGTGCTAAAATTTAAGGCCTATCTGCGTGATTGTTTTCATATGAAGGATCTTGGGGTCCTTAAGTACTTTCTTGGAATTGAGGTGGCTCGAGGTCCCGATGGCTTGTTTTTTAGTCAAAGAAAGTATGTCTTGGATATCATAAGTGAGGCCGACTTATTAGGGTAAAAGCCTATCTCTACTCCAATGGAGCAAAAT